TTAGAAGAACTCCAAACACAACTCACACATAAACAAATTGAATTACAAACACCAATTATTACTCAAGAAAGCATTAATGACATATTGCATACCCTTAGACAACACTTTATAATCGGAAGTATTCCCGAATACCTACTAAAACTTCCTCCTCTCCCACTCCCAACCTAGGATATTCTATTCATACCTGATGAGCAGCAAACAAAAATCTAACACAAAAACAACACATCCAATACCATCTTTTGGAATCTTCAACACAAAACCTACAGCTAACCATAACTTACCAAATAACCTAAACTATACTCTTAATACTATACCACCTACAAATATTCCAAACTCTACTACTAATCTGGTACAAAGCTCACTCAAAATTCTAATACATAATATTTGAAGATTCAATGAGTATATAAAACAACAGCAATGGTTTGAATATTGCAATCAAGAAAATGCAGATATTATCTGTATTATAGAAACTAAACTAAAAGAATCATCCTAGAACAGCCATAACCTGTCAAACCAATACTACTATACCTTCCTTGCTTGTAACAACACATCATCAGCTGGAACTGCTATTAGTATATGCCACAAACTCAGACCTTATATCAATAATATTTAAACTCTTCCTGGAGCAGCTCTTGCTATCGATTTTTTCTTCTCTAACAACAAGCTAAGAATAATATCTACATACCTAACACCTAATAATCCCTCTATAAATAAACAGATACAACAGAAAGTCATCCTCTGGACCAAGGAAGCAGTGAAAAACAAAATTCACCCAATGATACTAGGAGACTTTAACTATGACATAATTAAGCACAAGACACCTAAACCTAACTACTATAACTACTTTGAAGCTATAAATTTAGTTCCTCTAATTAATACTTACTATCCAAATACACCTACCTGGACTCGATTACCTTCACAAAGCCAAATTGATGAAATTTGGGTACCACAGCAGATAGCACATACTTTTAGCCAACCAATCCTAACTCCAACTACAATAATAACAGATAGCGACTACTGCATCATTCATACTGAATAGCTAATTAATCACTTCTATCACTCATCTAGAACTAAGCATTACTCAAAAAAGAAAACCTATCACTACACATCAATGAATCAAGAAAGCTGGGACAACTTCTCAATACATATAGAACAAAACATCAGCTCCTCATACATACTCGACGATCTATTAACACTCAATATCAACTAAATCTGCATAAAATCACTACTCTAATTACCAATGCTGCTAACAAACATATACCCAACTCTACCTCTACAAATAGAAAATATCACACTCACTCACTTCTTGCTACTAAACTACACACAGGTCTACAACTTATTGGCAGTATTATACGCTCACTCATGACTGCAAATGAACACAATCTGAATGATATTAATACTAAATTAAACAAAATCAATACCCTAACAGACTTAGAGATACA